ACATGGAGCCGGGGCACCTGGTGCCTCCCGGGTGCTCACAGGCTCACGACCCCCATCTGCTTGAGTGTCCATTTGCATGGCCGCTGACCACCAGGGCCCATTGGAACCATCTTCTGCCACACTCCAGCCAGCTTACCGGACTCAAGAGCCCAGCCTGGGCTGGCCGGAGCCACCTGCTGGCCACCCCTGGGCACAGCAGCATCTCAGCCCATCTGCTGGTCCAGGGCCTTCAGTAGGAAATAAAGGTCAAGCTGATTTGCACCCAGGCTCCCTGAGCAGTCTCTGCACCTCCCGCCCCCGTCCCCTCGCCCTTCCCAGCGGCTCCCCGGAGAAGGGCCCAGACCCGGCCTGGCTGAGGGAGGAGGCAGCCGTGGGGGCCCAGGGTACTCTGGGGGTGAGGGGCAGCCTCCGAGGCAGGGGGAGGCAGTGGCCTCTCCCCCTGTGCCAGTGAGCATGGGGAAGATGGATGATGCCCAGCAGGGGCTTCCAGGGCCCCAAGCACAGCAGTGGGCAGAGGTGGGCGGTGGAACCCAAGCAGGTTTCAGGCACAGGCTCCAAGGGCGCCCAGCAGAGTGGGAGACAACAGGCCCCCCCGCCCTGCTAGGGAGGGCCCTCGGGCAGGGGTCCTTTACCCCAGGGGGCAGGTGTGACAGGCTCAATAGCAGATCCCCCAAGGGGGCAGGAGCCCATGTCCTGAAGTGTCCTGAGGGCCCCCACCAGCTGAGGGCGGGCTGGGGTTAGAGGGCACATTTCCAGGTGACCAAGGAGCATGTGGGCCACACCCTTCCCAGCTCACAGGGAGCCTGGACACTCGTCACCCTTCCTTTTCTAGCCAGACTTCTGAAAGGAGTTATCTGTCACCAGCTTCCCAATTTCCACACTGTCCAGAGGCCCCTGTCCCCAGCGCTCCACCCGCACTAAATTTCCAATGTCCAAGGGGGAAGGCAGAGGAAGGGAGGGGGACCCAGGGCTCCAGACCAGCTCAGAAGGTCCTCAGGAGGCTGACCTGGGCCTCTCTCCCTGGACCAGAGGACTCTCTGGACGAGGGAGCTATCTGCTGTTATTACTTGAAAAACCAGTACTTTTTAAAGAACAGGGTTCCACTCTCTGGTTACAGACAGTCAGGAGAGACACACCGGAGCCTCTGGGCTTGTGTCCAGGCCGCCCCCTGAGCAGCCCTCCCTGGGGGGTGAGGACGGATGGCCAGGACAGACGGGTGCCCTCGGAGGCCTGGGGCTCTGCCGCACCATCACTGAGCACTGCACTGTGCTCTGGCGGCGGTGGTGGAAGCAAGCTCGTCGCCCTGCTTCTGTGGCACAAACATCTGAGTAATTCTGGGAATTGCTTTAGAACAGCTTGTCATTTAATTTGCAGAACTGATAAAACAAAGCCGCTCACCCCTTCTTCCCCTGGGGGGGATGAGCTGTCTGCCTTAACCCTGCTGCTGACTGGGACCCCCCCCCCCC